TTGTCTTCATTTTTTAGCCCATGTTCTCCCATGGGCCATTATGTTGGTCTTAGATTCTGGTCTCTGGTGGATCAGTCATTACACACATTCCTGATGGAATTCCCATCAGGCCAACTGGAAAGTAGACAGGTATGAACATACAACGCACTCTTTGGGAAATGATGCGGAGTAGCCCCCTCTCCAAAAGAATAGCCACGGGAGATCAACTCTACTTGTGACTGTATCACAACACTTACCACAAACTTCAATATCTTGGAACTGGCTGACAAATACTTTGGGGCACCTGGAGTCATTAATTAACAAAGGCACTATAACAAATGCAAATCTCTTTTTCTTGTAGAACCCCAGCTCCTGGTAAAATCAACGCACAGAATGGGGAGATGGAAACAACATATTTTGACACGACTGAGTGAAAGGTTGTTTACAAGTCTAATTCTGTAGGATATACATATGTATAATGATTGGGAGTAAAGTTTAAACTTGTACACCTCTTGTCTAAGTCACTCCATCGCTGTGTAAACTCCAGACATGTCTCCATAAACCGTTCTGGCCCTTCTTTATGACACTCCTTCAAATCTGCATCTTTGATCATGCCTTTGCTGACCGCCCCAATATTTCCTCATGTGGGTCGGTGCACAATTTGTGGTGAAAGTGTGTACAGAGTGACAAACATAGACAATAAATCCTGACCTTTAAATCAGGAAAAGCTGCAATTATCACTGTGAAACTTTCGATGGCCAATACTAGATCAAGGAAAAACATCTGGTAGAAATTAGAATTGTGGTCAGCTGCACTGCTTCAATAGAGATACTTAGAAGAGTACACTTTAACGTCATCTGCTGGAGCAGATAAGATGAAGATGAAGAAATATCTTCAGGAGATGGAAACTGGAGAAATGGCTGGAGTATTAATACACCATTTCTGCTGATTATTCAAAACTTTCTGCCTTACTGTTTTAATTCTCTCATGGAATGTAAGCATCGCTGGCTGGGCCAGCCCATCTCTAGTTGCCCCTTTAGAAGCTGATGGGGAATTGCTTTCTTGAACCGCTGCAGTCCATGCGCTATAGGTAGACCCACAATGCCCTAGGCAGGGAATTCCAGGATTCTGACCCAGTGACACTGATGGAACAGTGATGTATTTCCAATGAAAGATAATGAATAGATTGGAGGGAAACTTGCAGGGGGTGGTATTCCCATGTATCTTCTGCCTGTCCTTCTAGACGGAAGTTGTCACGGATCTATTGGAGGTCAGTGATGAACCGTGTTTAGGTGTGGGATACAAGATAAAGGGCAGCCTGGCCATTTTCACCTCTCCTTATGATGCTAACAGTTCTAGAAGTGGCAGGTGACATTTTTACTTCTTCAGACATTTATTTTTCATACAATAAATCCACATGATAAGCCTCAGTAGGGTATTTATCCACTCTGGGACGAGATAACGGAAGACTAAAAGTGACATGTCTGCTTGTAAACACATCACATGTGTACAGACACACAGGCCTCCCCACCGGGCCCAGACACACACACACACACACACACACACACACACACATCTCTCCCTCTCCCGAGATACACACAAACACCACTCCCCCCCTCCCCATTCCCCCAAACCCCACAGTCCTCCTCTGGAACAACCACTTCAGAGACACACACACACATACACACACCTCCCCAACACACTCCCCTCCCCTGTCCATGCCTATTTCTTCCCCTTCCCCTCCTCTACCCACACCCTTCCTGCTCCTCACCCTCCCCGACAAACTCCCTCCCCTACCTCAACACATTCCCCTCACCCAACACACTCCCACCCCCTCCCCAACATACGCCCCACCCCCTCCTGACACAATCCCCTCCCC